GCCACCCCTCGCGCCTCGGAGGACGGAGCGGGGAGCGATTCTAAAATCAGGTGTGGCACTGGGCGAACATCGGCCGTCCCTCAGTGCTTCCAGCCTGCCCGCTTCAGTTTCCTCTATTGGCTCGAATTTTGCACGTAGAAAAAAGAATAGCACGGGTCGCGGGCCGCCGGAGCGAGCATTTCGAAGCACCGAGCGGGCAGCTCGAAGCACGCGGGCGCAGGCTGCCACCGCTGCCCGGGCGCCCCGAGCGGCGGCGGAGGGCCGCCCAGGCCACCACCAGTGCCCCTCCCACCGGCGGCGCGGCGGCAGCGGCGCCGACCGCCCCTCCATCAGCGGTGGCGCGACGGGTGTCGTCGGGGCGCCGGCAGGTGCCGCGCGCAGAGGGTGCCACCGGACCGTCCGACGCGCGCCCGGCGGATCCTTCGTCGTCCATGGCGGGCCGAGCACCCCCGCGTCGCTTCTCGGCGCATTGGAGAGCAGGGGAAGCTGCTGGCGTCGCCGCTGGGATCGGCGGCGGCGCCAGCAGCGTTCTCGGATCTGAAGCCGACTTTGAGCGCCGATCGATCGATCTGAGGGCTGGCCGATGGGTGGCGCTGGGACATCGCCGCCGCCGCGGAGGCCGGCGGCGACCAGAGGAGCGGTTGGGGCGCGTGGCGCATATGTTACCTGCCAAGTGAGCATTCACGTGTGTTTCGAGATTTATTCGAGATTTGAAACTCAGATGTTCGTTTCCAGTGGGGAGGTGCCAGACCTGATCTTAGAATCGCTCCGTGCACTATCGCACCACTCAGCTATAAGTCACAGCGATTTCAATCACGCCTGTCACATTTCAATCACGCCTGTCACTCTACAAGCAGCCCAAAATCGCCCTCGAACTCCTCGAGGTCGCGCTGGCGCGCCGCGCCGTCCGGGCCGTAAGAGCCGAGCCCGGTCTGGGCCCGCTCTAGCCAGCCGTAGAGGAGGGGGCGGCAGCGCTTGTAGGCCAGAGCCCCGTCCACCGCCTCGTACCAGCGCTGCAGGTCGCGCATCCTCTTGGGAGGGAGGCGGAGGACAGTGGTGGCGGGAGGGAAGGCGGTGGAGATGGTGGCAGTGTCTGGCACGGTGACGCGGGTCAGGGAGGGGCAGCCGGCGAAGGCGTTCATGCCGATGGAGGTGAGGCCAGCGGGGAAAGTGACGCGGGACAGGGCGGAGCAGCGGTCGAAGGCGCCGCTGCCGATGGAGGTGAGGCTGGCGGGGAGGGTGACGAAGCCGAGGGAGGAGCAGCCCCAGAAGGCGCCGATACCGATGGAGGTGAGGCCGGCAGGGAAGGTGACGGAGGAGAGGGAGGAGCAGCAGTGGAAGGCGTAACTGCGGATCGAGACGAGGCCGGCGGGGAGGGCGACGTTGGCGAGGGTGCAGCAGCACTCGAAGGCGCGGTGGCCAATGGAGGTGAGGCTGGCA